GGGAAGGGAAGGGAAGGGAAGGATTGGGAAGGGAAGGATTGGGATGGGAAGGTTTGGGAAGGGAAGGTTCGGGAAGGTTTGGAAAGGTAAAGTTCGGGAAGGGAAGGTTTGGGACAGTTTGGGAAGGTTCGGGAAAGTTTAGGAAGGGAAGGTTTGGGAAGGGAAGGTTCGGGAAGGGAAGATTCGGGAAGGGGAGGGAAGGTTCGATTCTGGAAGGTTCAATTCGGGAAGGGAAGGTTCGGGAATGTTCAGGGATGGTAGGGAAGGCTCTGGAAGGGAAGGTTCAGGAAAGGAAGGAAGGTTTGGGAAGGGAAGGTTCGGAAAGGGAATGTTTAGGAAGGTAAGGTTTGGGAAGGTAAGGTTCAGGAAGGGAAGGTTCAGGAAGGGAAGGTTCGGGAAGGTTCAGGGAGGTTCGGGAAGGTTTAGGAAGGTTCGGGAAGGTTCGGGAAGTTTTGGGAAGGGAAGGTTTGGGAAGGGAAGGTTTGGGATGGGAAGAGAAGGTATGGGAAGCGAAGGGAAGGTTCGGGAAGGGAAGGGAATGTTCGGGAAGTGAAGGATCAGGAAGGGAATGGAAGGTTCGGGAAGGGAAAGTTCGGGAAGGTTCGGAAAGGGAAGGACTGGGATGGGAAGGTTTGGGAAGGTTTGGGAAGGTTTGGGAAGGTTTGGAAAGGTAAAGTTCGGGAAGGGAAGGTTCGGGACGGTTCGGGAAGGTTCGGGACAGTTTAGGAAGGGGAGGTGCGGGAAGGTGCGGGAAGGTGCGGGAAGCGCAGGGAAGGGAAGGTGCAGGAAGGGAAGGGAATGTTCAGGAATGATAGGGAAGGCTCTGGAAGGGAAGGTTTGGGTAGGGAAGGTTCAGGAAGGTTAGTTTTGGTAAGGGAAGGTTAGGGAAGGGAAGGTTCAGGAAGGTTCGGAAAGGGAAAGGAAGGTTCAGGAAGGAAAGGTTCGGAAAGGTTCAGGGAGGTTTGGGAAGGTTCGGGAAGGTTTGGGAAGGTTCGGGAAGGGAAGGTTTGGGAAGGGAAGTTTCGGGAAGGGAAGGTTCAGGAAGGGAAGTTTCAGGAAGGTTCGGGAAGGGAAGATTCTGGAAGGTTTCGGAAGGGAAGGTTTGGGAAGGGAAGGTTTGGGAAGGGAAGGGAATGTTCGGGAAGGGAAGGGAATGTTCGGGAAGTGAAGGATCGGGAAGGGAAGGAAAGGTTTGGGAAGGGAAGGTTAAGGAATGTTCGGGAAGGGAAGGGAAGATTTATAAAGGAAAGGAAAGGTTCGGGAAGGGAAGGGAAGGGAAGGTTCGGGAA